GGGGGGGCAATGTGGGACACAAGGGTCGCTTTTTGCCTGGGCTCCACCAAAAGGGGAGAGAGAGAAGTCTGGCGTGTATAGGGGTCTTCAAAAGGGACGTCCTCAAAAATGCAAAGCAACGGAGCCCCAGAGACCCTGGGGCCAGGTGGGAAGAGCTGCCCCCGGAACAAGGTCAGGCGCTGTGAGCCGCATCCCAAATGCGACTTCAGGCCCGGGCCGCTCACCTTGGGGAGGGGGGTTCCGGGTCGCCATGATTCCGCCGGCGGCCGGTCCAGGGTGGTCCCCGCCCGCCCGGCTCGCTCTCACACTTTCAGGGACGCTCTAGGCCGGTGCCGAAGTCTATGGTCTCCTTTTTCTTCCTCCAGGTTTAGTCCCCGCCCCCTCCGTGCCAGCGCGAGGCCTTCTGCGCAAGCGCAAGGATCAGGGTGGAGCAAGGGCGAGGAGCAAGGCGCCTCCTTACGGGGCGATTATTAATTAGTCCATAGTCCCCAGCTGGAGGCCCCGCCTTGCGCACCGTCCACACGTCCCTCCTGGATATTCTGTCCCTCTCCCAGCCGAACTCGCTGCCTTCGAGTCGCCCCTGACTCACAGCGACCCCATGGGGCAGGGTAGAACTGCCCCTGTGGGTTTCCAAGGCTGGACTCGATGGGAGTAGAAAGCCTTGTCTGGAACCCTAGTTCGGTTTTTAAAATCTCTATGGGGAGGAAGGTCCGGGATGTGAATGAGGGGGTTTGAAGTGGAGACCCAAAGACCATCTGTAGACAATTGGACATGTGCATTATAGCACCTATGAAACCCATCATTCCTCTAGCTCCTGAATGCTTCCTCCACACCACTACCATGACCCAGTTCTATTTTACAAATCCAGCTAGATCAGAGCACACACATTGGTACAGATAATAGCTCTTGACACATGGAATTCAGGACAGATAAACACCTCAGGAACAGTAATGGGAGTAGTGATATCATGAGGGGAAGGGAGGAGGGGGAAGAAAAGGTTGGATATATAGCCACATCACAAGGTTGGATATATAGCCCCCCAACCCAAAGGGGATGAATAATAGAAATGTGGGTGAAGGGAGACAACGGAAGTGTAAGACACGAAATAACAACAACAATATATAATTGATCAAGGATTCACAAGGGTAGAAGGGTGAGGGAGGGGCAAAAGAGGAGCTGATACCAAGGGCTCAAGTAGAAAGAAAATGTTTTAGGAATGTTGATGGCAACATATGTACAAGTGTGCTCAATACAATTTTAATAAATTGTCATAAGATTTCTAAAAGCCCCCAATAAAATTATTAATAAAAAATAATTAATTAATTTTTTAAAGTATACCCATTCTCAGGAATAATCCAGATGATCTAGAATATTCCACAAGTAAAGCTACTACCACAACTGGTAAAATGCCAACTGTGTTAATCCATCTCCTTATCCCCCAACCTTCTACTTTACCAAGTATGATGTCTTTCTCCACAGATTGGTCCCTCCTTAATGGCATGTCCAAAGTAGGTGAGACAAAGTCTTATCTTGCTTGCTTTTAAGAAGCATTTTGGCCATACTTCTTCTAATATGGATTTGTTCACTTATCTAACAGTCTCTAGTAATTTTAATATTCTTCACCAACATCATAATTCAAAGGCATTAATTCTTCCCACTTCCTTAATGATTATACAGCATTTGCCTGTGTATGAGGCCATTGTAAATACCATGGCTTAGATCAGGGGCATCTTACTCCTCAAGTTAGATCTTTGTTTTTTACCACTTTAAATCAGACATTTGTAGCACATTTGCCGAGGGCTATATTTCCCTTGATTTCTTGGCTGCTGCTTCTATGGGAGTTGATTATGCATCCAAGTAAAATGAAATCCTTGACAACTTCAATCTTTTCTGACTTATCATGATGTTGTTTAGTAGTTCCGTTGTAGGGATTTGGGGCTGGTATAGTGGGTTAAGTGTTAGGCTGCTAAGGTCAGCAGTTCAAACCCACCAGCTGCTCCATGGGAAAAAGAGGAGGCTTTCTGCTCCCCAAAAGATGTACAGCCTCAGAAACCCAAATGGGACAATTCCTCTCTGTCCTATAGGGTCATTATGAGTGAGAATTGCCTAGATGGCAGAGAATTTGGGGTTGAGGTGTAATCCATACTGAAGGCTGTAATTGATTTTTGCCAGTAGTGCTTCAAGCCCTCTCCATTTTCAGCAAACCAAGAATGCCATCTGCTAGCCCAATTCAAGAAACCAGAAAGTAACAA